GCTATTAAGGCGGTCTCTGAACTTAAACAGTTGACATACGAACAGCGCTTGACTGCCTTAAATCCCTTTAAAGCAAAGTTTCGCAGGTGCACATATGTGGATGGCAAAAACAGCAGGATTTAATGGATCCATAACATTTCGGGAGGGCTCATCAGCTGCATCCACTCCAATGCGTTGAAGGGTAACGAAAGAGAAAAATACAAAATTGAATTGGTTCAGAAAGGTCAAAAGGTCATAGGGCATGGTCACGAAGGATAATTAGTAAAGTAAGAGAGTTGAAACAAGGTGGAGGAAAAGGAGTTAAGGCGAAAAAGTGGGAAGGGGACTGTGTAAATCTGGGAGCCGGATGTTACCAAGGCAAAGCTAAGTTAACCACATGCTCCAACTGTTTACATAGGCCAGGTTTTGGCCGCCCTATATAGGCAGCCTTCAGGTAGCACAAGGTACGAGTTGTTCGTGCTCTGACAAATACTCGAAAGAAAGTTTTAGGGCCCACCCTTATCTAGCAAGTGTTCTGTAATATAGGCACGAGGGTTTCGATTTTCCTGTTTGAATAGGCAACTAGGCGGGTGCTCCTTGGCTCTGGCTGTCAGTTGCCTTTCGTTCGCCCTATTTACTTGCATCCGCAAGTGCATGTAAATTAATAAACACAATTGCAGGTGGCGTGCAATGGTAAAGCATCCTTCCCGCAAGGAATTGGTAAGGGCTTAGTTGGAAAGCATAATATGAGCTCAGCAGCATAGCATGTTCTTGCAATGGCTTTGAGCAGGCGTCTCTTGATGGTGTGTAAATTATTATCACCCTTAAAAAGCAAGGATACGAAAACGGGCTTTTTCTTAGCTAACTGTTCCGTAATTTTTAGGTCGCAAGGGTTTACTATACTTGTCTATAAACTGAGCTGGATATCCACGCTTCAGAAAGATATCTTTGAGGCCGGTCTTCTCGACTTTTCTCTTGATATCGGGTTCACGTGTGAGAGTGAGAGTAGATCGGTCAAGTCTACATTCACTATAATTCAGCATCTACCTTCAGCCTGCTGAAGCTCCTGGTGGACATCATCGAGAGCGACGGTCGAACTGTCGCTAGGCGGCGAAAGGCAAATTTACTTAAAGAGAGGGATCACGTTCGCTACACAGACATGGGCGCACAGTACAAAAGTATGGTGAAAAAAAAAGAAGTTGCACGCTACCTTTCGGCCATCGACGACGGTGTTGTCCAGCCGGACCCATATGCATGCCGGGTGGTGCACGCAGGATGCGGTGCGACAAATCCGGCGGATATGGC